CAATTTTTTTTTGAAGCAATTATTTTTATTGATTAAGTATTCCATACACAATATTAATACAATTGGAGCAAAAAATTAATTAGGTTTCAGTCACCTTGCGGCTCTAATGTTAACTAAACGAATAATTAATAATGAAAATTGAAATTTCCATATTCAATTACATTTAAGAACGAGCAGGAAATGAGAATAATGTTTTGATATCCTTATACCAATAGAAGTACCTATTTCTGTCTGTAACTTCGTCTGATATAGATAAGTAAGATTTGTATTATTGACTGTGGTTAACTAGGGTACACATTTAAATAGTTTCTCTAATTATGACGACAAAATGGATGGCACTAGCGTAGCAGATTTGACTATGACATTAGGGACAACGTCCATCTTCAGTCCCCCAGTCATTATGACTGCTGCAAAGCATGCAAAACTTCGGGGCGATGTTAAGAGATATAACTTAAATAAGACACTTTAACGGTGTAAAATGCGAAATATATATTTATCGACGAGTTGACGTTAACATATAATTTATTTGTTAATTTCGCATATTAAACCGTTAAAAATGTTTTATTTAAGTGTCCTAATGATTTTGAAAGCAAAATATTAATATAGTTACGATAATTGGTTTAATAAAAAATATATAGACCTTGCGCTATAAAAGAGCATCTAAGTTTTTGTGTTCCGATGTACTATCATTAATAATGAAATTGTCAAAGGGGAAATCTCAAGACAGTGAAATATTATTTACGTTGTTTTGCTTTTAATAATATCCTACTTTATAACCCATTTGCAAATTTCAATTGTAAATATATCTCGACTTCGTCTGGAAACCTGGATATTAAATAGGGAGGTAGGAATTAGAAATATCGTCCGGGTGAAGAACTACCGTCCACAGATGAAAAAGCCGTGAAGCTTAATCGCGTTTTGGCTTCAGTCTGTGGATTTCCGAATATCCTACGCCAAATTAGATCTACAGCGCGTCTTGTTTATGTGCTATAGACTGGGGTATGTCACCTGCCAACAAGTTAACAAGTGTCGGTCCTCTATCACGAAAAATAAGTACTATGTAGTTTCCTACTGAAGTTTTTATGCTTAGATGCAATAATAAAGACTTTTTATAGGAAAACCTTATTTTAAACTGTTTAACAAAAAGCAACTTATTAAACCTAAATACATATAAATAATACAATTAATTTTTTACTGTCCTGTTCGAGAACATTTCAATGTGACCCAATATAATCAAGTAATTTATTGTTTTAAAATAATTAATCATTAAAAAATGTAATTACTGCTTAGAGTAAGGTTTGTTAACTGTAAACTTTTCAGTACTTAATTTAAATTTACTGTATTTAAAATATATACCGAATATGTTACAATAAGAAAATATTTTCATTATATGTTACAATAAGAAAATAGTTCTAGTTAAAGATATATAACCCATAACCCACACCCATTATTATTTATTAGCAATTGTGACCAAATTAACAAAAGTACACCAACAATATAATTTACTTTACTAAAACGAATATCTCAATTAAAAGTATAAGCTTTAGAACATTTTTTATTTAAACATTTTTAACTTTTAAACCAAATTTATTCGTTAACTTAATTACAATTTATTTCAACTACCGTCGAGGTTGGTAGAGATTTTTATTTATTAGAGCAACGTCAAGAAAAATAATTATTTACTTATTAACACCCAATCTTACTGATAAACAATGCTATTAAAGGATACGTCCGTCTAGGTAACATAAATTATTTCGCTTTGAAACCGTCTAAATGTTTAATTTTAACTGTGTACTACTCGCTAAAACTACAGAGAGGCTTAAGTAAAAGGTTAATTCCCGTAGTTCAAGTTTAATCAATGTTATTGATGTTTAATGAAATTGGGCCTTACTGTCAAACATTGGGGAAAAGCCAATTCTAGCTCCTACACATCAAAAGGTTAAAAATTGTAACCTGGATATTAAATAGGTGGTCGAAATATCGAACCACCGTCCACCGTTTAATCGCATTTCGGTTTCAATCCGAAAAGCCAAAATAGGCCGACAGCGCATCGTGTCAGATGTTATATGGCTGGGCTATTTCACCTTCCATCAAGTGAAGTCGATGTCATAAAAATACCTGTTCGCCAACCCTCATATACGCCAACAGTGTAATCGTTCGGTGTTCAATTTAGCTCCGGAAGGCTCTTGTTAGGGGAGTGACGTCACGAGCCTGGTACGGACAGCGCAGACAAACCAGTTTGTATTTAATTATGCCTTTATGATACGTATGGACTAGGTCTTGGCGTAATAAAATCAATGGCCCAAAATAGGTTAAATTATGTATAGACATAAGTGAGTTATCTTATAGGAACTTGGCTTGGAACAAATATTAACATTCAAGAAGGGGTAAGACAAGAGACAATAATGTTTTGATATCGGATAAGGATAGTAAAATAAGGTATTTGTATTGTAAAAAAATACAACTGTTTCAAACAATTTCTGTAACTATGTCTCAGACTTTTATAGTGAGGTAAGATTTGTGGTATTATCTATAGTTTAAAACGCGAAATATATTGGTTAAGTAATCTACAACTTATGAGACGGCTGCTGCAAAACATCGGAAACGTCGGGCTGTTGTTAAAATAAGTCGTAAATAGGTTGGCTAATAAATTTCGCGTTTTAAACAGTTCAGTGTTTAATTTAATGTTTTCTTCGCTTCTACTCGCTTAAACTACATACGAACTACATTTTTGTTCACGACTAGGAATCGAACACAAGAACTCAATAACAGCTTTTAATTTATATATAGCAGGTTATATATCGCAAGATGTTTTTGTTTACTTATGTAAGTACGTAGTAATTATTTCCTGAAATATGTAATTATGTGTTTATTACTTACCTTTTCCACTGTGATACCTAAATTGCGTTGAATGCTACAAAAAATTAATTATTATTTTAATGTTCCACAATAATTTATTCATAATTTGATATAAAATAGTAATCAGCCTTCATTTCTTGTGCAATGAATATGTCTAGGCTATCTTGCTGAGCAATTAACGTATAGAATAATTTATTTATTTAATTAATATGTAATTGGATGTATCTTTAAAAGGATAAAACAACTTCATATAAATGATTATCATCAAACGACATAAAGTAATATAAAACGTAATTAAAGACTTGGTAAGTCTATGATATAAAAAAATTAAACTGGTTTAAACGGGACTAAATTAATCATTAATCAACCTGTTGCTAATCGTGAAAAAACTGCAAAATAAAAGAAATGAACAAAATATTAAATATTGTTTGTTGTTTATTTAAGTAAAACACTTTTACGGTTTTAATCAAGAAATATTCTAACTAATATTTATTTTATTTAACTATGGCCCGAGGTTCCGCATGCTTTGCACCAGCTGTGGTCTCGGGGGGGATTCAATATAAAGTATATATCGCATTTTAAACAGTTCCAAAAGGGCTTTATTTAAACGAAATATTAAGCAAACCAATGTTTACTTTTAACTGTGTAATTAACGGTGAAATATTGTGAAATTTATTACAGTTTCAGTCCAGTCTAAGGCCGACAAATGGGCCGACAGCGCATCTTGTCTAACTGTTACAGGGCTGGGTACATGAAATAGGTACTATTTCATGTGCTTGTCTTGCCCCTTCATTGTTATTAAAATATAGGTGATATTTCAATTTCGATTGTTTGTCTGAAGTGTTATTATGAAACAAAATATTCAGATACAAAGCATCTTATAGAAGATATTGGGTCTTTTAGTGTCAGCAGCTGTATTACAAAGCAAATTATAGCTCGAGGTGCTTCCAAGCGTTGTATAAGCCTGCTGCATAAATGCTGTACACACTTGACAATAAAAGTGAAACTTCACATGTTAAAATGAATGTCTTGCGTCATTTTTTTATTGCGAATTGTATCATTAAATGACGCTTGCCAATGTCATTGTAAGAAAGTCAGATTGCCTTTAGCTATAACCACGTTTTCTTCTCTGCCATAATACCGGTAGGTATAAAGACTAATATTAACGGGATAAAACGCAAAACATTATCTTATTTAACCTTATTTTAACTACGACTTTTTGGATGCTTTGTGTGCAGCCGTGGTCACAGGGAGAACATTTTAAACTAATTAATTTATAATTTTAAAACGGTAAAAATATTTTACTTAAATGTGTATGCTATTCGCGTAAACTAAAAATTTATTCATTTTAGCGCCCTCAACCTCTTAAGCATTGCAGAACCTTTTAAACATTTCGATGTAGAGTATATAGAGAATATGCTACATAATATATTTCATGTTTTAAACCGTTAAGAATGGTATATTTAAAAGTGGCCTAATCGCGTTAACCACCGACAATACTAATTGACATATAGCTAGGAACATAAAGAAGTGACTTGTTGTAAATTTGCAAAAATTAAATTGGGTATTTCATACTAGTATTTTAAATTAAATACAAAGACATTGTTCAATGATTAAGGTTATGCTATTGCAAATAACTTTTTAATCATATACTTAGATACTGATAAGAAGACTATTATATACTTAAAGAACCAAAGTTCTACTTTAAATTACAAGTCTTAGATACATTATTATTTTCTTATCAAGCGATGAAGACCAATTACTTTCTATACATAATTATCTTTAGTAATATAAGTAATTATATGTAACATAAAGGTAATTAATTGCTCTAGTTTAATAAATAACTTATTTAAATGTTATTATTTCCCAATAGGAATTAGTCTATCTACTATCTACTTAAAACTACAAAATAATAATATAACTTTCGGTGTTAAAAAAGTTAGCTGTTTGAAGAAAAAAATAGGAACATAATATACATAAATTGTCATTTGAAATTTAGCAAAATTCGTTATTCAAGTAATACATTTATTGAATATTTATAAAATAGATGAATTTTACTATTAATTTATCAATATTTAAAGCACCGAGTATATATAATATTATTCATTTGTTTCGACCTATTGACGAAAGACAAGTCAGGGTTAAAAGAAACATCCCGATAGACCAGATTTTGTGGTGATAAAAAATTTTAAGCTCCTGCAAAACTCACCCTCGCTCCCATTAACGGCCCCGTCGGGCGGCTGATCGTCGCCAACCAGGTGCCGTATGCTAAACGAGCTGGTCTTCCTCGCCGTGACTTCCGAAGTCACCCCCTCCCCGTTCACCTCACGGCACTCCGTCACATTCACCCCATCGTTTTCCCTCCGCGTCGTCAGGTCCATATTGAAGCGCACTGTTATTCCAAATTCGAAATTCGCACCTCCACATTGTCACTCGGCCAGTTCCATTTTCGAATGTCACTCGCGTTTATTGTCTCTGGTGTTTTTAATCTGTCAGTTTGAATTCACGGATTATTCGCGATGTTATCAACGCGCGCTGGCTTCGCCGAGGTGAGCACGACTGGTCTTTCCTCCTCAGCCGTCGCGATAGCGGGGCCCTCCCTACGCCCTCCGAGGCGGGGCGACCGCCTCCAGCACGCGTCATAAACTACTTACGCGAGGTGAGACTTGTCAATTACTGGTATGTGCGAGTTTTTACGCACTTTTTTTAATCAATCGTAATTGCCCTTATCATTACGGTCGGTGGAGAATGTTTTTGATCGGCGGCCGGCCATCGGATTTTCGACAGCGTCTAATATATGCGCGTGAGCAGCGACGAAATCAAAACTTTTAACTGTTATTAAAACTCGCTTATTTAGTAAGGTTCATACTTTTCCAGTTATTTATATCGCCTTTTCGGTAAAGTAAGCGAGTTTTTAAATCAACCGTTTATTGCGCCTTACTTCGCGTACCTACTCTATGTAAAATTGCACGTTTGAATTTTCCAAGAAATAAGATATCTATTGTATGGAACTCTGTTTAAAATTCATGAATTACAATTTTTGATAACTCCTATCAGTTAAGTTGATATTTATTATTCTTTGTCTCATATTTCTAAAATATACATTATTTTCATCTAAAAAAAAATAATGACTACTGAGTGTTTTACTCTAAAAATGTATTACATAAGCGGGACTCAAATCTGTCTGTTTGACATTTAATCATTATCGACGAAGATATGTCGTAAATATAATAATACCTATATAATATTTTTAGCTATGTGGATATTTTTGGATTACGAACCTGAACTGGATCAAAGACATTGCATATGGATAATTATTTGTTCAAACCGTATAAAAACTTAGTTGTATCAAAATTACTTGATTAGTTGAAAGATAAATCTTTCATCCAATCTTCAATCTATCTTTACGAGTATTCAAAATTAGGTATTGGAACACTTTCATGTTTTTCATAATATGTTATGCTCATGATTTTGATATTTCCATTTAGTTTGCTTAACGCTGAATGCAGGTTCAAGTGCCGCCTGCGTCGAATAAAATAATTGAAGTCCATTTTTAAATTATAGTAGTATTCATGCCATCTTGTATTATATTGGTTTTATAATATTTTTACTACTGTAAGCTTAATTATTAGTATAGTATAGGTAATAAAAGTTAGTTAATTGCCAGGTGGTCTAATTTCCCAACAGTACTCCATTGACTATTATTTAATTAAAGAAATATAATGAAATGATTTCATTTGTATGAAGATTTTTTTTTTTAATTTGCTTAAGTTAAAAAAGTCACTTTATCGCTACAGAAACCATTACTTTACTTATAATACTAGTTGATTTCACAAAGTTTGTCTAAATTCTTTGCTTGATAAATAAATCGGCAAAAAAAAATTAAATTAACTCTACGTCATCCTTTATTGCATCAACGGATTGATGAAATAGGTATCTAAATTTTCATCCTAACATTTGGCTTAAAGTTGTCTTCAATATTTTTTTTAAACAGGGAAGTCCTTGTTTAAGTGATATTTTCTTGTTCAACTGACAAGTGAAAACAAGACACAACTGACAAAACTGTACGCTTATCAGTGAATCAATTTGTTTCAAAATTTATTAACTGATAGGATTATAGATTACGAATTTCTTGTAATTAGATAAAAACGGAAGAACAAATTATGTAATGTTATTAAAAATGTCGTTACAATTTATTACTTCAATACTATTGTTTCTGAAATCTTTATTGGAAGTAATGTATGTAGTTTACAAATTTTAATTTCTACTTCAATATATTTTATTTAACGTCGCATACTAAATTCTCTCATTATCCTTCGACTTGAAACAAGTAACACAGAGGAGTCAGAAAAATGATTTACAGGCGTTGTAAAATTGCCAATAAATATTATTCTGTTAATCATAATTTCAAACTATAAATTGAGTCTGAGACTGCGAATTAGGATTATTTCAATATAGGGCTGCTACGTAAACTCGCAATACTTATTTATCTAATATTGGGGGGGGGGGGATCGTGAGCACAGCAATAAGTCAATAAACTCTATATACACGCGGTTCGGTAGTTAAAAACGATGTGCATATACTTATGGGTTGTTATGAAGAAAAAATAGCATTGCTATACATTTGTACATAGCTTAAATATATATTATACAAGGCAAGGAGCAACAACATTTCTGCTTAACTGACCTTGAGTACGCGCTAGTTTCGCGCCTAACGGAATGCTATACAACACGGTTTACCATTTAGCTAGAAAGACAGTCAATAAAATGTATGATACCTCATAGAAATGTTTAAAATTTGACACAAACTTAGTGATACACGCGACGCGTACGTACTTTCACCTCTATACTTTGTAACTATTGAAGAAACTGCGTAGTAGCAAGTTGGCGGTTTGTCAAGATAATAAATTCTAGTTAAGCTTCAATTTCCTAGCTCTCAACCCGGGGCGCAGAATATGACTTAATTTATTATCTTGTTTCTCTTTGTTACCCTTTGTGGTTATTATGTTTAAACGTTTACTGAGTTTTGTGTGTATAGTTAACTTAGTAGTGTTGAAAAATCTATTTAAAATTCCATGGCTTGTACGTCGAGGTAATAATTACAAAGATTACAAGACAAATTTTACAATAATAATAATAAGTACACAATATATAATTTGAACAAATTGACAAGAACTTTAAAGCAAGTACAATGTATTTACATAAAACACTTCTATTACACCGTTAAACGCAAAACATATAAACTTATTTATAATTATTTTACCTATGGCCCATCCTTTCGGATGCTGATAAAACAATTATAAAAGAGTTCATTAACATATTTCGCATTTTGTACCGTTAAAATATTACTTAGTTATTTGTTTGTTTTCTATTGCTGTCGTTTTTAGAATCAGTTGTTGTATTGTATGTATTTGAAATTGTCGACAATGGTAACAGGTTAATTAATGATTAGTTTAGTCCCGTTTTAAACCGTTTTTTTTAAAGCTACACACTGTTTTATTTTGTTTTAATTAACAGAAAGAGTTATTATATGTACCTACCTATATATAGTGATTTTAATAACATCGACACTATGTACTGATGAAGAATGAGTTCGAGATGAGAATTTAATTCATAAAAAATGTAGATACAAATTATTTAAACAAAACACTTTAACGGTTTAAAACGCGATATATTAGTTAAACTTATTTGAAAATGATTTTTAACTTCGGCCCGACGTTTCGGATGCTTTGCAGCAGCCGTGGTCACGGGGATACAAATTATATCGTATTGATATATAAAAAACCTATCCATCCATCAATTTTAATTTACAGCTTCAATTCCGAGCCAACATCAAATTGAATTAACATAGACTATTAGAATTCAATATGGCCGTTTTTGTTAATGCCTCCATTTAAAAGGCATAGGAATTGTAATGTCTTAAGTCGGAACAGCGGGGCGCAGGAAAGGTGCTTTCGCAAAAACTTAACCGACCCGTCTTAATCTAGACATTAGTTCAGAATTCTTAACCACGCGTTTGACAATACAAAATGTGGCTTCACAATTTTGTATTGAATTTTTTCAGTCGATCAGTAGCCTTCGCTTGACATCGTGTAGGTAAGTTACTTATGTAGGTAATTATATTACGAATAGTTTTAAAAAAGTTAATTCGCATTCCCTTGAGGCATGATGGCACATTCTGTGTTTCACAGGTCAATTTTACAGATAAGTAGTTGATCAGACTTCTTCTCTGCTGGACCGAAGCAATCTATTGTTTCCCGCGATTAGAACCCAAGACTTTTCGTGCTTAACGCGATGCTAGGTAACATGTTTAACCATTTAGCTACTGAAGCGACTAAGAAATGTTTTAATTAAAACAAAAAATAACCAGTCTGTAGTTTACACGTGTAGTAGACATTTATATTAAACACTTTTTAACGGACATATAAGTTCGCCAAATACCAAACACGAGGAAACAGACGCCACTAGCGTACCAGATTTGACTTAACATTAGGGATACCGTCACTCAACAATCTCCCTGTGACCATAGCCGCAGCAAAGCATCCGAAACACCGGGCCGTATGTGGTTAAAATAAATTTTAAATAAGTTAACTAATACGTTTCCCGTATTACACCGTTAAAACTGTTTTATTTAAGCTATAATATGAGTAACGCCTGTTTTAACATTATTTGTTATTGATAGGAACCTTGTACAGAGTATAGACCATTCAACATATAAATTATCGGTAGCATTATAACTGAATTCAGTTAAACGTACATTGTTTGCTTTAGATATAATATCCTTATTTATCAAGACACGACGCATACAAGACAAATTACCAACCCATATGTTTACCATCTGCTTAAGATGACAGGTGACTTATTTTCCCTAAATGTAAGCCTTCTCGCTTTAAGTTTTTGTTAATCGTCAACGACGCATTAAGGCTTTGGTCTCTTACAAACGCGATTAGTACAGCATCCCGCGTTACGCCGATTACTATTATAAAACACACTAATTACAAATTAAAAAAATACACTTTTCCGACTTTTCGGATACTTTGCAGCAGCCGAGGTAGGTCACTGGGAGGCGGAAAATAATTTTCAAATAAATTTAACTAATATATTGTGCATTGTAAATCGGTGAAGTGTTTTATTTAAATGTGTACTACAGACAGTATTTAATACACAATATAGATATGTAATGTTGTTACGGCAAAATCGATTTGGGATAATTCACCATCTCCAAACCTTGAAGAGCATATTTATACACACTGTCATGGTGGGTCTGAGTCTAAACACTGATCCCACCTTTTTAAATAAGTAATCAATAATAGTAACATTCGAGTATTATTGATGCCGCATTAGTTTTTTATGCTATACGCAGTCTTTATATGAGACGAAAG